GCTGAAGCTGACTCACTGAGCAGCCAAGAAGGGAAGATTTGTGGGTCAAGCTCAAGGGAGCATGGCTCAGAGGGAAGGGCACTAGCCCTATGTTCTGGCCCCTGCTCCGCAATATCCCACTGCAATCTATCCATTTTATTCCATAACTGCTAAATAAAAAGTCCACTGGGGGCAGAATTATTCTATTTTTAACAGTGTACTTGTTGGTGGCTTGAATGATTGGCCTGTTAGTATACCTACATGGAAAAGACTCCTCCTGGCTCCTTCATATGCCAGATTATATGGTAAATGTTAAATGAGCTCTTAGATTTTTTTCCCTTCCCTCATATGTCAGTTACTGAACATAGATGGATAAGTTCAGTTCTACATGCTGGATTCACCTTTCACTCCTGTCAAAGTAAATCAATAACAACTCCACTGAAGTAAATTTAATAACATGGGTGTAAGTAAGAGCAAAATTTGAGCCTATTCAACTTCAGTGTAAACTATTGAAGGAGGATAGTCTGAACAATATTCAGAATCACATCAGCATTTATCAGTAATGAACATCCATTTACTTCCACATGTTTTACCTTCTGTTCTTAGCTGCTGAATGGCCTCAGCACATGTCCTCATAAATATCTGAGCATCTTGATCAATCTGATCACGTTCTGTATCTGTCATTCTCACGTACTCAGACATAACATGGCTGGAAAACAATAAAAGCATAGATAATGTTTTTTAATCCTCTGTACATAATTACTACTGTATGTTTTGGACCTGCCTTTGAACTGTTTGTCTCTATAGACAGATTTTACTATGGAGATAGATGTTTATATTAAAATCATTCATAGTAAAGTACAAATGTAGCATATTCATGGAAGTCACTGTTACATGGTCCTGAGTGTTGTATTAAATATTTACTATTTAAAAGTCTGGATTAATAAAATTACCTGGAAGAGAAGATTACTTAATTAATTTAGGCCATCATAGTGATTCCTGTACCAAACTCATGAATAAAGGAGAAAATCAACCAAAGAACCTATCATTTATCGTTCTCAGTCAAGGTCAAAAGTCTGCTTTGGCCTGGATGTCCATGGCACTAGGATAGCTATAGGAACTGGTGTGTCTTAATGCCCTGCAAGGAAGTGATGTGGTTAGCATTACATCCAGCCTCTAAGTTCCCACCCCAAATAACCAGGTACCCATTTAACATTTGAATCAAGGGAGATGACAATTTGCATAAGTCTACAGTGAAGTTATAACAAGTTGCAGCAAGAACTCCTCCTTAACTGTTCTGTCAGTGCACTCCTATTACTCTCTGTAACAATTATTATTCAGCATTTTTCATTCTGAAAGTATAAGATCAATGCTTCATAACAAATGCGCTAGCTGAATAGGATATAGGAACAGCTTACATAGGAAAAGGAAATATTAACAAGCTGAGGCTTGTGAATTCACTGAAATTTGCACATTTATCATTCCAGATTCTGAATGTAACTTTTGCAATGGGCACTACTTCCCTACTACAAAACCTCTGACCTCAAATAACAGTACTGGAATGGAGGAGTATGGAAAATAATACATTTCAACAACAGCATGGGTGTAGCAGGGGCTAGAGGCAAGCTCCCACTATGGATCTGTGGGGCCGGCTATGCTGGCAAGAGACTTACCAGGCCAGGTCCAGATGGGCTGTGTCTCCCTGGCATGCCACGGAAAAGTATCTAGGGAGAACCCGGGAGGCAAGTAGGCCTCTAAGGGCACTGGACTACATGCCCCAGGGAGCTGGCTCTGATTAGCCAGGAGAAAAGAGCAGGAAGTTTAGAGAGACACCAGGAAGACCATCGGCTTTCGACATCCCCCAGGAGTGGGGAAAACACAGCGGAGCCAGGAACTGTGCAGACCAGGGTAGAAGAGGACTCAGGCAGCCAAATCCACCCAGGTAGCCGAGGCTGGGGCAAACCCCAAATGAGGATCTGACTGGGCCTCCAGGAAAGCTAAGTGAAGAGGGCAACTGGGAAGGGGAAGCTGTGCTAGTAACACTAGAGACAGGGTCAGATGGGATACTTTTCTTGGGGCACCCAGCAGAGGCTGGCAGGGGGTGAGAGGCAGTACAGACTGCGAAGATAGTGGTATTTAGAGATGAGCCAAGGCATGTGAAGGCCTCAGGGTGGTGACTGAACTATACAGCCAGCTGGAATGATAGGGCAGCTTAAAGAAGAAAGTGTGATTAATTTAGGAACTTTGGATGCATTTGGGGGCCTGACTGGGGAAATAGGCCATAATTTACTTTATTGGGGTGAATACAGTTGTATTAAGTACAGCTGTGAAGGCTGCACCCAGGGGATACTGATTTGTGATTGCAAAGGACCCTACAGCAGGGATCCAGGAGGCATCAAGAGAATTAAGTTGTAAAGCCTGAAGTAAGGTTGAAGGATAAGCTAAAAAAAAGTTGATCTAAAGGACCAGCTAATTGGCTCCCTGAGCTACATCAGCGTTTCCCAACCTTTTTCATCTCACAGCACACATGAATAAAAAACCACTGTGGCACACCAGATGCGGAGCGGGGTGAGGGAGGGGAGGGGAAGGCAGGTGGTGTGTGGCAGGACACGGAGCGGGAGTTAGGGGGTGTGCGTGGCCGTATGCGGAGTGATGGGAGAAGGGTGGCGCAGCACCTGTATCACTGGCTGGAGCCACGTCCCCTGCCTGCTGCTGCAGGCAGACAGACAGACAGACAGCTGGGGGGCATGGCTCCCCAAAATTCTGCAGCACACCTGTGTGCCACACCACACTGGGTGGGAAACACTGAGCTACGTGAAGGAAGATGTGGCGGAAGTGAAGCAAAGAGTACAGTGAATGCCATACTTGTGGGTATGCAAGTGGATTAACAGTGGATAGAGATTTCACAGGATCAGAGACAAGAGTCAGATAGCGACAGACCAAGGGACATGGAGGGGTCCAGAGATTCAATCCACATAGGCCAGATTCAATCCAGACAGGTCTTCCCATGCAGACCAACAGGGACTTTTCACCACAGGCCTGAGAGAAAAGGGGCAGGGTGCAGGGAAGGTAGAGCCCTGCAGAAGAACCAGGACCCCACCAGATGGATCTCCTTCTGAAGAGTCATCCAACCTGTCTGTCTGTCCCAAGATAACCAAATCAAGGCATGGCGGGTGAGCAAGACAGCATGACAAAGATCTGCGGCATTACAGTGAGGGGGTAGGTCAGAAATATACCCACACTCAAAAGGGTAATAGGAGTATTTGGGTAAATCTATTACAACTTGCCTTTCATTTACAGATGGTATGATATGCAGTTAATAGTTTATAGTAAGATTCTAGAATAAATATCGTAGTTGACAAATTAACAAAAAAATGGAACAAACCTACAAAGGGACAAACAGTACCACAGTTTTATGCAGAACTTGCCATTCAGAGGCAATGCAGATCCCTATATTTAAGTGCAGCAGCATAATTAAGGGGAAGGAAGGAAGAAGGACTAGGACAGTAGCCTTAGATGTCATCTTTGGGAGGGGAGGGGGACTTTCTGCCTACCCCCATTTTAATCAGTTCTAGTCTTTTAATGTGATAACATCCCAATTCATTTGGGACACATCTATTATACACCTGCACATAAAATTATTTTATAAAATATAAAAAGAAAGAATGTCCTCTATTTTATTCTCTTGTTGTGTATTATTTCCAACTATTCAGCATGCATACTGTATTATTTAGGTGCCCAGAGCTTCTGATGAAAGCAAATCTAAGTGCTAAGTGTTACAAAATTATTTTATTTTTTTTAAATAGAAGGAAAAACCAAGAAAGAATTTGAGAAAATTGCAACTCCAGTACAGCCTTAAATTATTCTTCCATTCATGCTGTTACTAATAATATGATTCTGTTTCGGATAAAAACTCGAAGGATTCATAAATCTTGTGACAAAATCCCTGTAGGAATTCTAGCCTTTTATTTTTCAAGACAGAATCATAATGTGCAGTTTTAAACACACTTTCTCGGGGATGAAAGGTTTAGAAATTGTCTCATTTATAGAAGTGAATAGCAAGAATGCCATCCAGCAGGCAGATTAAAATTTATGGATTTGAAAGAAACGGAAATTATTTAGACTAGTGGTTCTCAGTCAGAGTACTACAGAACAATATTAGAACCGTTATGCCCCATCTACACATTACACTTAAGGTGCAATCAACCAGTTAACCACATCTTAAGGTGGGACTAAGTCATATGTTCAATCAATTAGTGGCATGATAAAATAAGGAATAAGCCACAAAGTTATTCCACAAAATGTGTGTAGTAACTTCATGGCTCATTTTTATCATGCCACTGTGGGGCTCCCAGCCACAGAGGTGCAACACTTGTTGCTGTGGCTATGAGCCCCACAATTAACGAGGCTCACGGTTGCAGCAACATCCCACACACCATCCCAGCTGCATATCTCCTCAGTTGTGGGGCTTGCAGCTGTGAGAACTTGCTATTTGCTGGTGCATGCATGATCCTGGACTCCCCCTACACCAGTAATAAGGCATGATTGGAGTTGATGCTGGATCATGATCCTGGACTCCCCCCACACCAGTAATAAGGCATGATTGGAGTTGATGCTGGATCCCACAATTACACTCATGCTCTGCATGGGTGGCATGGCAGGAGGTGTGGATTGCATATCGGATCCTATCATACCTTTACCCAAATGTCTAGAGGGGTCTTTAGGTATGTAAAGACCTACCCATGATCATAACATAAGCCCTAAGATTTCAAATAAGAATCCATAGTGTCAAAAAACACCCCTACCTATTGTGGTTCAAGTATTGTGCAACAGAAAAATTGCTCAATTATTTTTCTATAGTTGAAAAATGAGTGAAGGGTAAGAGTTGGCATTTTCCAAAGGGTGCCTTGAGTCTAAAAAGGCTGCAAGCCACTGATTTAGATGGATCATGACATGACAGTAAAAGTAGAGGTGCACTAATACACTGGTCCCATTTCGGATAGGCACTGATATAAGGAAAATTGATGGTATCAGCAATCGGCTTTTTTTGACTGATGTGGCCAATAATGTTGCCAATAAATGCCTCATGCATGTGCGCAGGTGGCCAAGAGTGCAGCCTGGCAGCATGGAGAGCAGCCAGGTTCAGTTGCTAAGTCTGTTATGAGGGAAGGGGCAGAGTGAAGCCCCCATGGTGAGGGAGGGAGTGGCGCTGGGACAGGTGCTGCCCAGGCAGGGTGGGGCACAGGACGGAGCTGCAAGAAGCTTGTGCAGAGACACGGGGAAGGGTGGCGGCTCCTACCACTGCACACACCCGGAGGGGGGCATGGGGTGTGCATGCCCCCAGATCTGTGTGTGGGGTGAGGGTGGGCTGTTCCTGCAGCTGAGGCAGGGCGATTAGGCTGGGGCTGCACTCAGGATGGGCAAAGGTGGCCCTGGGAGGGGTGTGGGGCTACGACAAACTTTGGGGTGGCTTCAACCTGCCTGTAGCCTCCCTCCCAGGACTGCTACCGCCCATCTTGAGCGCAACCTCATTCAGCTCCAGCTGGGAAGAACCAAACGCTGCCCCAAACCTGGCGTGCAGCAGCAGCCTGCCCTAGCGCCACATGCAAATTTCGAGGAACATGCCCCCCATGCCCTCCCAGGATGTGTGCAGTGGTGGGAGCTGTCCTCCCTCCCCCCCCCCCACCCCCCCGGTACCCCTTGGACAAG